TTCTTTATATACCCAGTATTTACAGTCACCGGTGGGTTAAGGTCAAGAGCTCTATTCTTTCTATTGCCAGCTCTATATTTAGATATCTAAAGATTTAAGACTTGTTGAAAAATAGTAATAGTGTTTGGAGTGCCCAACTTTCGTTGAAGTTTTGTGCATATGCTTATGCTTATGATTGAATGAAATTATACGGTCTTATATTCCTTCTTCTATCATTGACCGTGAAACGAAAATTCACTTGTTACTTCATCAAGAACCTCGATTTGACTGTCATCATTACAGTATCTATCGTAATTGAAATCCCTATATTTTCCCCCGTAGTAAAATTCCGTAAAATAATTACCCACCAGATACTCAAAGCTCGATTGCTTCAAAATCCAAACTGCTAGAAACGTCTTCTCAGATGATGATTCGAGGACCACACCTATAAAATCACAGATATACTATTCTGGTAATGATACAAATGAACACTCTATTGAATCATTGCATTCTGAGTATGGCAAGTTATGGGGTTGCTCGCTATCTCACAATGATAGTGCTATTTTCATGTAAAAGAACGTTTGAGATGGATGGATAGTATATGCTCTTTTCGATGATTGATCGCTAATCGATTGATAATTGATCAAGAATCGAATAATCGGGATTGGAAAATAAAGGTTAGAAAGCAATGGTTAGATGATGCTGAGTTACTTGTTGTGTATACATACCATAACTTCAAGATCGAAATTATTCCTACTAATAGGAATGTTTTCGATGTGTGTTTCTATCTGAAATCGAGTTATGTCCCAGGATAGCCCGTCTGTTAGATCTGATCAACATATACGTATAAAATTATTCCTCCTCCATCAAATACAATAGGTGGTGTGGTGTAATGGTAGCACGTGACGTTGTGGCTCATCCTTCACAGGATATATCACGAATGATCCGTTTCAATCTGGGTTCGATTCCCAGCACCGCCAAACTAGCATAGTTTGGATTGAAAATTAATGAGGTGGTTTGATTCCATCTAATTCCTATTCTTTTTGTGGTTTTTTTGTTACTTTTGATGGATGTGGTGGGGTTGGTGGGGTAGATGGGTAAGCGAGAAGGTATATTTTCGGGGTGCTGGTGGGCGAGTGGATGAGTGGAGGAAGGAAGTGAAACTGCTAACTACCGCACACACGAATGAAAAGAATGATCAAATTGATGAGATGACGATATATTGTGGATTTGATGGTTGATCGTAATCGATTTTAATCTGGACAATTGTTTCACGGAAAGAAGATCACAATAAAATGATGAAAAATGGGGTAACTAGGGTGGGTTTCCATTCTTTCTCGGCGGTGCTGGGAATCGAAACCCAGATTGATATTGTTTCTGGAGTTCAAATTATGAGTATTCATCTATATGCTGGATTTCTTGGATGGGTATATACTGAGATTGATTGATTGATATAAGAGAATTTTGATTCGAAATTTAGATCTGCTAACCAATTTTTGATCTTGATCTTGGCTCTGCGAAATCGGATGTGAGTGTTCCAGTTACAGATTAGATGTATAAGTTTGAGTTTGGCATATCAGATCATAGTTAGTCAGGTCATGTGATCATTGTCGAAACGTGGATGATTGCTGAATGAATCTAGATTCGTTTGATGTCCGGAATATCCTCACAGAACGGAGAACGGCAAACGGCAAACGGCAAACGGATATTACCCATGATCCTATTGATTAGATGGCGGTCACACCATGGCGACGGAACTTTCCCTTGGACTTGGTATCCTGCGATCAAATGAGTATTCAATCAGGAGCTTACTAATAAGGGTCTTCAGGCTACACGGGACACTTTGTGATCGCAACTCGAGTACGCTTCAAGTTAGCTCTTCTCGTTAAGCTTTTCTGCATAATAACCTTAAATACAAAAGTAATTAGATTTGAATTTAAGAAACATCGATTTTCGCATGGGCATTCTTTTGAGTGTTTGTAGTCAGCGAACCTAATTAAGTTTAAACAACCTCGTACACTCAGAACGCCTCGAAAGTATAAACTACTATCCAGGTGCATTCGAGAATATTGCTGAGTTCGTCCAGAGTTACAAGGTCATAAAAGTCAAATAGATGAGATGAAAGGACGGCCCGAAAAATATTCGAGGGTCTTACTTGATCATCAGATGTTTGCGAAGGTCTATTGAGATGAATACGCGATTGCGAATATGCTCTACCATGATTATGCAAACAATTTCGTCGCCAAGAAAATCTGGAGCACTCCTTTGTCAGCAATTTTCTCCTTTCGTGGGCTGATGTTTATGAATTGGAATATGCATTGGAGTTTTAAGCAGTGAAATGAGTGACATGGCCAAGCGTTTCTGGGGAAATATACCCACCATCAAGAGTTTGAATAAAGTCAAGTAAATTGTTTACGGTGGATAGAGTGACTATCCGCCAAGTGTGCGACCTTTGGAATCCCTTTTTTCTCGTGTCGAGGTAATGCCTTAGAGGATTGGGGATACTGGAGGGATAATGTCCGATTCTTGATGGGATTATGGACAACATGGTCAAGTAGGTTAACAGTATATAAGGACGTTAAAAGTCTCGAGGTATTCTAATATCATCAACTCATCAACTCATCCATTCATTACTCATTCACTCATTCCATTCACTCATTCCATTCACTCATTCCATTCACTCGTTTTTACAACACAGCTTACACTCAAGCAAATCAATCACCAACGCTCCTTCTCTAAAGTTATATCAAAAACTTCATTTCAATCAATCATCATGGTTTCATTCAAGACCCTCGCTATCCTCATGCTCTCTGTTATCGCAGTTGACGCCGCAGGAGTCATTGGCAAAGCTGAAGGTTTCGCTGCTGCCGCCACTGGAGGTGGAACTGCTGCTGCTGCATCCCCAAAGGACATCAACGAGCTTGTTACCTGGCTCTCTGATAATGTTGCCCGTACCATTGTCCTTGACAAGACCTGGGATTTCACAAACACCATGGGCACAAAAACTGAGAAAGGCTGCACACCTCTTTCAAACACATGCAGCAACGGTGCCGGACAAGATTCAGTCGATATCAATGGCTGGTGTGAACAATCTGCAAACGCCAATCAAGCTCTTGCTAAACCGACTATCACTTACAATGTCGCCGGTATTCCTCCAAATGCTATCAAGCTCGGTTCCAACAAATCTATTGTTGGTGTTGGAGCTCTTGGAAAGATTAAGGGTAGAGGTTTCTACATTGCAGGTGCTAAGAACATCATTATCCAGAACGTTGAGTTCGTCGAGATGAACCCCAAGTACATCTGGGGTGGAGATGCTATCTCCGTTGATGGCACAGATCTTTTATGGATCGATCACGTCAAGATCTCCAGAATTGGTCGTCAATTCATTACCATGGGACCAGGTGCCTCCAACCGTGTCACCATTACCAACTCTGAGTTCGATGGTACTACTCTTTGGTCTGCTAAGTGCAACAACCACCATTACTGGACACTCTACTTCACCGGTTCCCAAGATACTGTCACTTTCAAGGGCAACTACATCCACAACACAAGTGGTCGTGGACCCAAGGTTGGAGGCTTGCACTCATCAGTCACACCAAATGTCTTCCTCCAAGCTGCCAACAACTACTGGTCCAATGTCGAAGGAAACGCATTCCAAATCGGCGAAGGAGCAAAGGTCCTTGCTGAGGGCAACATTTTCGAGAATGCTGTTACACCCGTCATCTTCGACATCACCAGCAACCCTCTTTGGTCTTCAAGCAGTGGTGTTGCAGGATGTGCTTCGATCCTTGGCCGTAACTGCCAGGCTAACAGCCTTGTCTCATCTGGATCTTTTGCTGGAACGAACACTAATGTTTTGACTGCTGCAAAGGGATTGTCTCTTGCTACTGTTGCTGCTGTCGGAACTACCAAGGCCAATGTTCTTAAGAATGCTGGTATTGGAAAGATTTAAGTGATGGGTTGGAGAGGGTAGACTGGAGGGATGATAGAAGGGGAGACGGAAGGGAAGAGTGAGATGAAAATATTTAGGCAACATTTGTATAGAAGTCGTTATAATTAAATAGTCAATTTTTTGGTTCTAAAAGACATTTCTAGTATCTGATGTGATTGCTTTCTATTAGAAATACTAGACTCGTTACTGGATGATATTATTTTATAGTGTAAAGTTCTACAGAAGTATAGAGCAGTACGATGATAGTAATAGTATAGTATGTATTACTTAGAAGACTAATATTTAACGAAGTTCGTTAGAAAGTGTATATTAGAGGGGTGACATATGGCATTTTCATGGAGATATTAATAGGCCAAAAAAGTAATTTTGGTGTAAAAGGGTGGTCCAAAACAGGGCTGGCCAGAAAATAGGGTAGTTGACTTATAAGCAATTGTTTATCGTTACTGTCGGTAATGATGACAGTAATCTCGGCCTGAATGTAGACTTGCTTCTGGAGGCCTGTCAGTCAGAAAACCACTTGTAGCCTGAAAAGACTTACTGTCCGTATCAAAACGGTCGAGATTCTTCCGAACCTTGGACGGGTTGATTCGCGATCAAGAGTCTGTCTTTGCAGCTACTGTTTAGCTCCCATCTTTGTGTTTGGGCCATGCCTACCGGTAGTAACTTTCGTCGCTACAACATAATTTACCCCACAGAGTTGATCTTGTCACGTGCTTATGAGTGGAAATGGGATGAGATCCGTGCTCTCAATAGATTGTCACGGTAAACCCCACAGTGTCTTTGCAGCCTCTCCTCACTTCCTCAGAACGTGTAGATTTTACACAATATGTACATGCAAAATAATCAAACTCTTACTCTGTTCCGTCTTTTCAAAATAGTTTCTTGAAACACACTGGGAAATTTTATAGTTTATGCTTTAATACACGTTGACCTTACGGTTATCGTATGTAATTTGTGATGTGATACAAACCCTGCATATGAGTTTGGTAAGCAATCCAACCTCTGCAAACTGCAGTTTCCTCCTACACACTATAGTAAAGTCTCCATTTAAAAGACGGAATAAACTATAATGGCACTTAGCGTTGATGCTGTTGCGAGTTTGGTGAAAGAATTGAACATTGCAGACAAGACATCTGAGGTCGACAGTCAGGTTCCTGGTCACTCAAGCTCAACTCTTCAAGATTCAATCCAATCGCTCGATCAATCTGTCAAAGTAATTTCCTCACAGGCACAGCAAGCTCATTCATTAGCTGGCTCCATACCCTACCCCAGTAGTCTGGATATCACACAAATAAACTTACTTTGCAGACTAGCCAACGAGGTTACTGAAGCGGTTCGAATTCTCGATGATACGGCCAATACACTTAAAAATGCCCGGGAAGTGTCCATCGTTGCTTCCCTTACTTCTCTTGGAGGCCAGGGTGGGGCTAAGTTCCGCGACGGGTCTCTGCTTCAGCGTATGTTGACACACTTCGACGAGCAAATAAGAAGTATAGTCCGAGGCGTCCTGGACAACTCGAGCGATGTCATCCTATGGAAGATCGCCGAAGAGTGTTATAATCAAGCTAGCAGCTACTCCGGCTCATTACATACCGACAACTATTTTGTTCCACACGACGAGGCGCTTCTTGAAAGGCCATATGACCCTGATTACCAGGCTGAGGGATATTATGAACATGAAGATCGCCTGTTAATCGACCAAAATTATGCCAAGTCCATAGAGGAACAAACGCAGCATAGAAGAGAGGAAAGGGAGAGAGAAGAAGAGCTCTGGGTCGACTTTTGGGTTTTTGTACTGGGGAGATGCCCTAACGGACCGACGCTGTTCCACCCACCTGCAAACCACGAGATCGAACTTCACATGCTTGGGACTGCAGATATCCCACATTATTTGTTCCGGACTTTTGACACTATGAGCTCGGGGAAAAATGATAACAGCGTGGTAGCTTCACTAGCAAGTGTTCATAAGCCACCCTATGACAGCAGAATAGATCTTCTGTCTCTTTCCGCACACGAAGCGACACATATGATGCACACACATCTGGCTAAACATACTTGTGGTGGAGAATACTCGGATAATCTAGTTTCGTGGACAAGCTCTCTTTTGTTCGCAATTCAATACGCGATCTGGAGACGCCGCAGGTTCCGCTGCTCTGCAGCAAATATCCAGATCTGCGCAGTGGACACGAGGAGATTTCCGCACGGGCAATTCGCACCAGATATGTGGCTTCTGCAAGCGTATCATAACACGGCTGCAAAATTGGGTGGGGATACAAAAAGATTCTTCCACTTTCGTCTTGGGGATGAAAGGTACCAGAATGGTGAATTCCTTTCACAGGGATCAGTACACCATGCGGGTCGATCGTGTGTGGTGTCTTTAGAAAAACTGCAGGAGTCGGAGCTTTACAATCTCTATCCCGAGCTCGCTGAAGAAGAGGGCATGAACAGGTGGTCGAATCGTGTGCTAGAATTGCGGAGGCGCTGGTCCGAAGAGCGGCTGACAAGTGCTCAAGAGTTAGATTTTGCGGAGATGGTGGCGAGGAGATGTTTTCATGCTTTCGAGGCTGCTGATATGATGCTGATACTCTTGACATTCAAAGCCCGCAAGATGAAAGGTGAGAGTCCTAATATCTTTTGATTGGATTAAATGAAGGTTATTAATAACAATGCTGAATCTTCAAAGAATATCCCAAAGATGACAATAAAAATTGTCCGAAATGGGCTCGCAAGCCAGATGAGGTCCGAAGATATGTAAGTGCAGCTGGACTGCTAAAATCGCGAAAGCAAACTATGAACGGAAGGGGGGGTGCCTCCCTTCGCATATCGAATGGTGTATCTGGCATTCAAATAGTCAAGGAAATGTTCGACTACATTTGATTCACTTTTGCACCTGAATTTCGTCAATAAATTTGGCGCCACTGTGGAAGAAAGTCTGCGCTACATCCAGAAACTAAACTATTTGGGATCCATGTCTGATTAACTTCTGTGGCGCGTACAGAGATTCAACTGAGGATGTAAAATGTGGATATCCACCAGCGATTGAAGGCAGTGAACTTTTTGAAAATTCTAATATCACGGGATGTATTGAGGTGGGGTCTGGTGCAATTATTGGAGCTTTGTCTTCGGTTAAAATACGGCTACTTCATCAATTATGATATTACTATGCTCAAGCAATGGTACTGTTTATGGCTGCCACCTATGTACTAACGACTATACCTATATTTCACCTCCTGAAAGCGAGTCGTGATTTGTCTACTTACAAGACCTGTCATGTCACATTGCGAGATTGGGCAGAAGTTTGCAGGTGAGCACAAAGCCCGTATTGTAATGCGGGGGTTTGATGAGAGGAATGCTGCTTCACAAAGTGATCCCCCTATGTCAGATATGAATGTATCGTAATGGAAAACAATTTCAGTAAGGGGAATAAGCAATTCTCGATTAAGCAGGATAGCGTATGACTCTTGCCTGAGCCTTGAGACCTGCAGACAAAAATGCTTGATGGAGATACAAATATTGAAGAATATGCGAGAGTCTTGATTGCTGTTAGGAATAGTCATTTTCTCACTCGAATTCTCAGATAGACCACCGAGTATTTATGCTTCTTGAGTCTCACATTGGAAGGAGGCACTCTGTTTGGATTGATGAAGTAGTGTAGATAGGGGGGATGAATTGCACAAAACCTTGAGATCCTATCTGCTACATGGCAGATTGGGGTGAGCTGTGTGTGTGCCGAGATCAACATTTTCTCAAGTTGTGCTAGCGATGAGATTTGTATTTCAAACACCCAGACAATCGGCATCTTAGAGACATATAATTTTTCACTACTAACATTTGAAGTACCGAGAGCAGTCATATGAACTGTGCGAAAGGTGCATTTAGTCATTCTTTGTCGTTATGATGACCATGGACGCCCCACAATATATTCACTTGCCTCACGTCCATCAGCAACAACAACCAACCACTCAATACAATTTTCGCAGCATAGAGAAAAACACCTTCAAATCTTCAAATTGCCCTTAACAGGAACAAAAAAATCTCCAAAGAACAGACAAGCAAAACCTTACTAACCCCTTAGTTAGCAGGAGAATACCCCCCGCGAGGATATTTTTACTCGTTCGATCTTGGCGTTTTACCACTCTACCACCAGACCGCACCATCTATGCGATCTGGTTGATGGTTTAGATTTAGGTCGGTATAAACGGGAAAAGAAATTTGAGAAATGATAGGAATAAATGGATTGGAGAAAAAGGTAGCAGTTAGTTTGTGCGTTTGCTCACTCACTTCAATAAAGCTACATCTTGTATCATATCACATTTCTGTCAATCTTTATAAATCGACGTCTTCAACATCGACTTTTTGAGGGTAGATGCAGATGTAGCTGGGGAACAAAACAAGGAAAGGGTTACTTTGATGCGGTTTGTAGATCATGATGTATTCAATTTTGACACCAGAACAACAAATGCTATGCCAAAATATTAAATCTAGAAAAGGGCCAAGACTTTGCTCAGAATTGAATTTTGTTCAATTTTCAATGCTGGCCAAATGACAGCAATATGATCAACGATAATAGACTTCTAAATGGTTAATTGTATCACTATCCAAACACTAAAAGAACATGTAGAAATGCCAACTAGACATTCTTGATGTGAAAAGGGTTTCATTCTTTCGCTTGCTTTGTGATGCCGTATGTTTCAGCCATAATAGTACAATTTCTCCCAACTCCAGTATTTTCCTGCGGTACCGCGCTGTTTAATAATTTGCATGGCCATTACTAGAATTCGACAACAGTCTCCAGAGAGCCCATTCATCGAACGCATCAACCTGCCTCATATTCTCATTCTGCTGTTCTTTGAACACGAAACAAATCATCCGCATGATGAATATCCTTAATAATGTACGTGCCAGTAATTCAACCCTGAACGCCAAAGTCCATATCATCTCTCCAATTCTCAACTCTAAACATATGCCATTATCTGTCTATCTCCTCTCATCCCGATTTCCCCCTGGTGGGGGCATGCCCGGAAACCCTTGACCACCCGGTGGTGGCATTCCTGGGAAACCTCCTGGTGGGGGAACTGGGAATTGGAAATTAGGTGGCAAGCCGCCTGGAGGAGGAAATGGCATTCCAGCAGGCATACCAGGCATACCAGGCATACCCGGGAATGGTGGCATAGGTGGTGCACCAGGTTGTCCAGGTAAAGGAGGCATTGGGAAACCTCTTGCGCCTGGCGGAGGGAATGGCATACCACCTGGACCAGAAGATGGAGGGAAAGGTGGTGGAACGCCTCCAGGGAAATTGGCTGGTGGGAAAGGTGGGAAAGGTGCCGAGGCTGCTGGGTTGTGAAGCATAGGATTCGAAGAGGATTGACCTTCGGCGGCATAGGAAGATGTGATGGAGTCGATTACTGATTGGGCTTTTTCGTGACCGATTTCTAGGGTTAGGACAATGTATTAGTTTACTTAGTTTGGTGATCGTGGAGAGGGAGGAACATACGTTGATAATAATCGACAACATTGCGCAAATGATTACGTCCACTGTTATGAGCTTTACGCACACTCATCGAGTCGTGAGTGAGGTAGACATCGCAATAATCGCCTATGAAGATGTATTAGCAAGCTGTTCGCGAAGATGGAGATGGAGCTCGAATAGTCGCAAGTCGCACGGCGCGTTTATTTTAAACTTACAGAAGACTGTGAGAGTAGTTAGCATATAAAACAGAGTCGCAGATGTTCAAAAACTTACATTTTGGCATTTTGGCGGTATTAAATATCTCAAGTATTGTTGTTGTCGTTGAAATTGAAGGTCCAAAGATGCCCAAATCCAAATCTAGAAGTTCAAACTTCGATGACACGTGACTCAAGATTTCACATCCCTGTAGAGTACCCCGAACCTTACACGTCGTCTAAATCTTTGGATTACCGCGATCTGGTTCTTGAGTTTCGAGAGCTCCATTTACACATATCTTTCGGAGCCCCTTGTTTTCCACTCAATCGATTCGGCTTTACACACCATGGCATACACAAGGTCATTTCTGCAAGCACTTTGCAGTTTCTTTCTGGTACTAGCAGTTGCGGAAGCACTGAAATTCGATATTGACGCTTATCACAAAGGAGACAAGAAGGCAGAGAGATGCATTAGGAATTTTGTGGCTAAGGATACTTTGGTTGTGGTTACTGCTACCATTGATGGTTCAAAGGGAGATGGCATGCAAGTCGATATGCATGTACGTTTTCATGCAATTGGTTGAAGAAGGTCTGGACGCATGCTGACATGAAAGATAGATTAAAGATGCTGTTGGAAATGAATACGGAAAGCCAAAGGATATTGTAGGTGAAAAAAGAATGGCCTTCACATCTCACGCCGATGCATCATTTGATGTTTGCTTCTACAATTACTTTACAGCCTGTTCGTTGCCGCCCTTTCTTCATTCTCATCGCAGCCAGTACTAATTACATCTAGCAAACCGTGTTAACAATCCCCGCCGCCACGTTGAACTCGATATTGATATTGGAGCCGATGCCAAAGATTGGTCTGCCGTTCAAGCTACAGAAAAACTTAAGCCAGTCGAAACCGAATTACGGCGCATTGAGGAAATGGTCGCAGAAATCGTTGCGGAAATGGAATACCTTAGACACAGAGAACAGAAATTGAGAGACACGAATGAGAGCACGAATAACAGAGTTAAATGGTTTGCATTTGGAACCATGGGAATGTTGGTATCGCTGGGAGCTTGGCAGATTATCTATTTGAGAGCGTATTTCAGGTATGTTTTGAAATTATTACGGAAAGGTTATTTGACGCTAACAAATGGGGAACAGATCAAAGCATCTTATTTAGATATGAATACTATGGTTGTTATGAGGATGGCGGCTTATGGGGTGGGCTTTTTCAGCGATTAAGACCCTTTGTTTTACTAGAGTGCGAAGACATCTGTAAAATGGAATGCGATGTTAAAAAGCTCTCTATTTCTCAGCAATACGATACTCCTAATTCTTGATTCCCATCGCATTTTTTGGTTTGGTCGATTGAGAAAGAGTTCCCAGAAGTTTGGGATTCATATCTCCCATGTGTTACTCAAATCAAGTGCTATATTTATAGTGCCATCATTATCTCCACGCACTGGAAGGAGATACAGCTGAGATAGGGCCATTTGGTATTCCGCTCGTAATCATGCCACAAGCTTTGATTGTGTACACTCTAATCGCTTTTAGCTTTGAACCACGAAAAGTGTAGCAGAGAAGATGCAAGCATCAGAAGGAAAGTTGGGGGTTAGGCATCAAAGAGGAACGTTGAAAATTCTGATATGCGGTAACAATTCAATTACAGTCACAATCCACGGTTCTCGATGGGATTTGATGGATTGGACATCGAAGTGTGAAATCTTGTCAACTTACATGTGAGACTATGGTTTGAGCCGGCATATCTTAAAACGCCATGCTCCCACCCGAAGCAAATATACATCCATCGCTCTATTCAAGTATCGATCCGCTAATAGTTGGGCTGAATTATCATTTCTGCAGTGAGTTTTTTTTAAGGCAACATGTAGGTCTTCGAGGGAGAATTTTGAGTTTCTCTCACGGAATGAATGCCCAATCTATCAAGGTTGATGTCATCTTTTCCGCGCCTAGATCCTAAAATTTCAGAGCATGGTAACAACGTCTAAAATATGTTACGATATGAGTGAGTATATACGTGATTATGCGCTAGCGCACAAGCTGTATTGCATATAGCTCTCGTAGCTCCGAACCTAGAACAGACATACAAAATCGATAGCCACAATACAAATAATATGAAGACTTCATAAACACCATTGAAGTGCTATTCGCAAAAACAATGGTCAAGTGTATGTCGCATAACCGATATACTGACTGTCCTT